TTAAAAACCCAAACAAAAATCATAAAAATAAAAATATTTTTATAGATTGTATAATGTCATCTACCTTTAGAATGTTACAACAAACATACAGAAATTTTAATTCTATATAATTTTCTTTGTAAACTTTTTAAAGGATAAACTTTTAAACCAAATGTGTTAAATCTAACCAAATATTATATAAAAACATCTAATCAAGACACAATGTTTTAAAATTATTTTGTCCAATTCCTATTAAAAGTCCTTGTATTTTTGTTGTTTGTAGGGTAAAATTAATGCAATTTCAGCATGAATCCCTAGCAAATTCAGCATTAAGTAAAACATACTTCATAGTGTTATGTTCTCAAATTTATGCTTTGACAGGATGTACTTAAAAATTTACAACATGGTACATTAAAATAGAAAAAGAAAAGCATTAGAAAATCTACAGTAGAATAGATCAGTTTCCCTATTAAATTCATTTTTATGAGAGTGACCAAAATGACACTTGGAAATTTGGCACTCAAAACAAAAGTAAGCCTTCAGCTTACAAGAAGACAATTCACAGTACCAATATTGTGCCATCGAACAAAAAGAAGTCACATGAGTGGCACAAAATTCAGCTATATGAGACCTGGAATACCAAACTAAACCTGCAATAAGAAATGATAAAATGAGATACATGAATTAGGTACATTTTCTTGCTTGGGTTTAGGATTGTCAGATTGGGTTTAGGCATAGCTATGCATGGATGTATTATTGCTGACTAATTCCTGTGCAAGTCAGAGATACATCTCTAGAAATCAGCCTTACTTTAGTACATTTTCGGCCATTTAAGAATTTTGATATGTAATTTTCAAGTTTTTAAGAGTCCTCTTAGATATGACCCGCAATGATGTTCTTATTGATGTTTACATTAAAGCTTACCACTTTTTGTTCAATCAGATTTGCCTGCGAATTACAGTAACTCATCAAGACAGTTTCTTAAAGCAACATTTCCAGCTCTCAAAGTACAATGGTGTTCCAGTTTCACACCACTAACAGCTGCTATATCTAGCTCATGTATCAGCTGATTCTGCCAATACTTAACAAAGTTTGAATACTTAACAAAGTTTGAAACAATAGACCTGCTAAATGAATGCAGACAAACATAACTGTTGTATCTACATGCAGAGAACTTTCCCTTTTTGCCTTCAAGATTTCAAAGAGCAGTCTCACCACAAGAGCTGAAGAAGATGATGCAATTTTGCTCGTAGCAAAGAAACTACTGGTACTTAAATGATCATAAACAAGAAATGCAGGTAACTGCCTGATCTGAGTTCAGCTGAGGTAGAATTAATTTTTTTCACAGTGGCTAGTAAAAGGTTGTTTTGGACTTGTGCTGAACACAGGGTTGAATACAGAGATAACACACTGGTGAGAAAGTTGGTTGGGAGTTCATGGGAGGATAGGAGGAGACATAGCTGGGACAGATTACCCTAACTGACCAAAGAGATATTCCCAACCATCTGATATCTGCCTGGTATATAAAGTGGGAGGAAGGAGGAATGGGGGAGACATTTGGAGTGATGGCCTTTGTATTCCCAAGTCATGATTACACGTGATGGGGCTCTGTTCTCCTGGAGATGGCTTAACACCTGCCTGCCCATGGGAAGCAGTGAACTAATTTGTTGTTTTCCTTTGCTTTTGTGTATGGCTTTTGCTTTCCTTACTAAACTGCCTTTATCTCAATACACAGGTTTTCTAGTCTTTTCCCTTCTGATTCGCTCCCCAATCCTGATGGTGAGAGAATGGGAAAGAAACTATGTGGTGCTTGGCTACTGGCTGGGTTTAAACTGCAACACTGCCATAGCCTTCCTTTATGTAAAATGATGTATGTCGTTCTGATGTATTTCATATACTGCATATTTCAAAATAAGCTTCTTATAGAAAAAAATATTAATAATTTCTTCTATTCTACACCTTTATCCTAAAATATGCACTCTGCATCAAGAAAAACAATAACAAACTATGGAAAACAAATGTAATGTACATTAATGTATGCCACATGCTGTTCAAGATCATTTGGTAGATAACAGTATGCAGTGCTTGTATTTCAGACATGCATTCACAGTAAACACTTTGTTTGGTAAGAAAGTTTTGTCCTTGCAATAGCCACAATTATTATTGGTGCTAGTACTTAGCTCATGATAAAAAGAGGCAGGTTCTCAGCAATACCAGGCTAATCACTATCTACTACACAAATAAATTTTCAATGAAGCCCTGATCTACTGTATCACAGGTTTTTCTCTGATGTTACATAATTTTGAAGAAACTTAAACACCATTTATTCTCTACAGGTGAAATGAACTTTTATTCATAAACTTCATTCCTTTTGCCATGGGTGAATTGTGGGAATGAAGTCCATGAGTTACATATTTTCAAAATATAAGGGGAAATTAGTAGCTATTGTCCTTCTAAGGAAATATTACTCTTGCAAAAAGGAAAACAAGAATTCAAACCAGTCAGGATTTAGGTATTTTTGATTTGCTAAATTTTGAATGCTATACAGTGACTGTGAATCCCCCTTTATTTCTTTCCTTCAGTATTAAGCACCTTGGCCTCCATATTCATTTTGAAGAAAGGCCAAGGCCTTTAATCCTCATCTATGTCTATCAGAATAAACCAGTAAAATATCATTCTCTCTTTTTAGCACTATCAAGAGCTGAATTTAGATGCAAAGCTCAGTTCCCAATGAAAATTTTCATAATCAGTCAACAGAGGCAGAAGCTATTAGGACAGATAATGATAAAGATATTTATTATGATAAATAGTTACTTTGCTCTTTCTCCACTTGTAAATATGCAGTTGCAGAGGTGCAGTCACTTGGCTCATGGTAAATGGTATGAGGAAGTTAACATTTGTACTGAACTGTGCTGCATAAAGCTGTGACACACTGCTAAATGCAAGATTGATGGCCTATGTGCTTTGCCAAAGAGAATATCAGAGAAAAATACCACGGAACAGAAGAATAAGGTTCATTATTTTAGTCTCAAAACAGAGCAAAAAAACTTTACAATTTTATTCAAGAACACATACTGGATTTAAAGTGGTTTTCATTATTTGATCTCCTCAAAATATTCCTTTTCAGGTTGAAATAGAGACAATGTCTGAGATAACAGAGGCATATTATACAACATTAGGACTCCCATAATATTATCAGAAGTTTGGCAATTCTTTTTTGCTTCTTCTCATGACTCCATCTTAAAATCACCTTATAAAGAACAGCTTAAAACTCTTTTTAACATCAGAAACAAAGAACAGTTCCTAAATTAACACAAAACCAAACAAAACACACCACCATCACTAGAAAATAAGCCCAACAACAAAAATGAAACCATTTAAAAACTGAAAACATTTTTTAAAAAATGGCTTCCTTCCTCATTTCATATTGTAAATAACTTTTGAATGTCAATATTTTCTGTAGATGTGTTAATTTTTTAGAAATTTGACCTGATCAGCCACCATCTTAGTTTAAAGGAGGGTAAGCAAAATGACACAACTTTGTAAGTATGTACTTTCTGTCCAAGAAACAGTAGTATTTTCTATGCAATCAGCAATTACCTTTATTTCAAAAGATCTAGCTAAGGCTAAATTGAAGGCTGAAGTACAATCTACAATGCAATTTGCCTTTCCTCTTTCCAGCTGCCTAACAGGAATAGAAAATAAAAAAAAAAAAAAAAAACCACAAAATCACAGTTTGGCAGGAAAGGTCATCATTCTTTCAATACTCTCAGTACTTTTATGCTTCTAAGCTTTTACTTCTATGTTTAGTGACTCCTGGTACCTGACACTTACAGAGTATTGCTGCTTTAAAAACCTGGTTGCAAGTCCCTTCAAAACACCTTTTGTGTGTTTGATTATCAATATCTGAACAACTTATTGCAGCCAAATTTACTCACTGTAATTTCTGTACAAGGATAGCTTAACAGTGCTAAATAGGATGTAAAACACTATAGTGAATTTATATGCCAAGAGTGCTTTCAGAACTGCACAGTTCTAGAAATGAACAATTCCCTCTTTTGGATAACTTGAATTAAGCAAGTCTGGTAGCCTACTTACAGTTTCAGAGAAAGGTTCAAGTTTTGGGGGTTATTATGCTCTGCATTGTCCTCAAAAATAGGGAACAGTTCTGGACAATTATGCATAAAGTTGGACCTATGCAAAGATTATGTAATGAGGCAAAAATAATCAAATATGACAGCTGTCATGTGATGTTGCAATAGGCGACAGAAAGCACCAGAAGAGTAAAAAATCCCAGAGAATCAATGGAGTGGCTCAGAGGCACTCAGAGGCACAAAATCTAAATGTCTGTACATGACTAAATAAATTTGCTTGTTCTGTTATTGTTTAAGCCACATTTACTCTCACTATCACTTTATAAAGAATGCAAATGCTTTTCCCTAAGTTTTTCTGAACTATGTGAATTTAAAACCATCAATGGGCTTATTCATGTATTATAAAATCTCTGGGAAGTCATTAACAGATTCAAGAATGGGCAGTTACACAGAAGCGTCAACCCCTGGGATGATACATATTCATAATTTCACACAAAAAATAAAGAAATAAATCCAGCTTTCTACTGTCTTCACCTTATGCCATCAAGCACAGGAAGTGTTTTCCATTTTTACTAGTTTGGTAGGAGACCTAAAAGCAGATGCAATTCTGTGCAATTTGCTGTGACACACACATACATGGCTCATAATATTTTTTTCAGATTTAACCTCTATCATGGTCCATACGCCTGTACCTCCAAAGAAGGTTACTGCAAGGTTATCTGCAGGGCTGTAATTTTACTCATTTTGAAAACTTAAACAGATTCAGCATGTTATCAGCCTAAACATCCCTTCAATGTCAAGGCAACTGACATCTACTATGAGCATTCTGAACATAAACTTTTTTCCCTAATGTGTTGGGTGTCAAATGACTTGAAATTAGCAAATTAGATACTAACACTTGCCTTATACAAAGCAAAAAATACTTACCAGAAGCAGCATCCTTAGCCTGGCGTATCAGTTACTCTTTGATTTGAGGAAAAATTTTGGCCGTAGAATAATGCCAAGGAGAAACCATCTGAGTCCAAATGCTACTTCCAAGGCCTTTGGTTCAAACACTTTTTAGTCAATTTTCTTGTACAGTCCTATTTCACAGGAAAACCAGATACATGAGAGGAAATAAACAGGAAATAATTTCAAAATATTTTTTACAATTAGAAATCCTGCTTTAATTGCCAATGAAAATGGCCTCAGCAAGATATACTTACCAATGAGGTCCTGGAACAAGACTAGAAAAAATCCAAGGATTTGAGAAAATTATCTTTGAAGAGGAAGAGACAGTGTGCCCAGAAACTGATTAAATATCATCATATAGCTGTATCAGAAAAAAGTTCTTGTCTCTTTGGATTTGAGAATGTTTCTCAAGGATGTCTCAGAAAACTCCACAGCCCTCAGTCTTGTACATCTTCCTCACAGGAACACAGCTAAAGAATGTTGGCTCAGTCTTCACTGCTTGAAGCCACTAAAAAGGTGATATCAGCCTCTTGCAAAATGAAGCAATGGATGAAAATAGTTAATAATAACTTTTTTTTTTTTTTATTTGATATGTACATTCAAACAGATTTCACAGATGAAACCCCAGCTTGTTAAAACCATGTATTCAGTAACACTTGTGGACAATCTCTGCAAAATATATCAGCCTTTTATTTTAAATTAAATTATCAAAGCTCAAATGAACTCAACAAACTAATGTAGTTTTAATCTATTGTGACTTCTTGTTCAGAGCATTATGTCTGAGCAGCTCTGGTCATGTCCTTCTGCAGACAGCCAAGACTACAGTGTACACTGAGAAGACAAATTTTCTTTCTGCCCTCATATAGAATGTACTTGACAGCAATTTAGGAAAAGCAGCAGAGCTTTGAACATTATAATGAGAAAGGAAGATCATTTCTGTAATATTTGTAATGTTGAGTACTACTGCTGGGCTCTCACCATTGAATTAATTTCTGCACTTTGCAATGAATTGTCACCACCACTGCTCTTTGAGCCATAATTAAGGTAAAGTTAAGTGAAAATTTTGTACTTTCAGATTTTCAGATTTTAATTTCTGAGGTTTATATTTTGATTAAATTCCTTCTTATTAGCACAAAGCTGCAAGCTGATAGACTATAACAAATATAAATATCATATATACTGAAAATATAGCAAATGGAAAGCTAACACAAAGCACAGCTGGTTCTGGCCTCACAAGTACTGAAAGTTAATCAGCCATCCCTGGAGGTACAGAAAATGTTATTCTATTCTCTTTTCTACAAATTCTCTTTCAGGACCAAATAGCCCCACATTTCTAATAAAGATCTAGACCCATTTGACAAAATTCACTGGTAGTGATATGTATATATATTTTACCTCTGCATTTCTACTGTAAATTTATTTGAAAGTATGATTGTATCAAAAGTTGTAAAACCCAACATATTAAAAAACTACTAAAACAGATCAGAAAATTATCTGCAGCTTTTTTAGGATAAGCTAAACTTCTAGTCTAATTTCTTATGCAAAAAAAAAAAATAAATAAAGGCTGTCATTGATATTTTAACAGCATAAATATGATGGTTCTATCCTTAAATTTTCATGCACAGTATGTATTCACATTTCTCGTAAATTTTGATTCTTGTAGAACTTTTCTTGTTATGTTTAATAAATAGTTTTCCTGTTTTGCTTAAATTTTTCCATTAACACTATTCTCCTAATTCTATTCTAATAGTATTCTAGTTTGGAAAAATTTTCCTTACATTATAACAATAAACATACATTCTCACCAATTCTTATAAAGACTCAAGAGAATAAAAAACAAACATAAAAACTAGACACAAAAGGGAAATATTCCATAATATATTCTGTATGAGAAGGTTGTGATAATTTCTGGATCCCCCAATTATTCATCAGATAAAATGGACAGCCACAGTGTTCTTTTCCAGCTACTCTGATCCACTTTATGTATATAAAACTCCACTTCATGCACTACAATAGTGCATGAAGATGGAAGATTTTTTATTTAAGATGCATTTATACTCCAAAGTACGCCACTTGATGTATTTGCAGCAATCTTGCAGCATTTAGGTATGCCAGTTGTTTACAGTCAATACTTTGATACAATAAGTACAATTTTCTTTTTCTGTATTTATTGATATTATCCCAATCGAAATCAAAATGTACACTGCTCAGAAATGGTCCATCATTTGGACATTTGAATGCACAGGATTAATGGTTAAATTTCACACAAATAGTGCTGTTGTCTTGACAATTGTGTTCTTTGACAGATAAACTTGTCTCTTTAAATATAAACTTGCCTGTTTCACTCTACCCTTTGAGAGAATAACACTGTGAAATAGAGTGACAGAGTGAAATAATAACACTGCAGGTACTACCTGGATGTGAAAGTCTAAGCAAGTGTCCTTGGCAGCTGTATTCCAACAAGCATTCTGGAGAAAGGTTACTGGACATTAGAAGTATTCAAAGGACTCCTCTATAACTATACGAAAAGTCATTTTGCTTATTTATATTACCTAAAGATATATATTAATCATATGTGCTGGCAGAATTTTTAGTAAACCATAATTAATCTTTTTCTTTGATCATTCTATGATAGATGCCCAATTATCTGTGTTGTTTTATTGTCTTTACATAACTTTCAATTTGATCCCAGAAGATGGGCCTGGGACCAGTCATTTGTACAGGCATGTAAAAACCCACCTCCCTTACTTCTTAAAAGATTTTAGAGACTATTTGACAATATTATTGTAAGTCTGAGGAGCTTGAACAACTAGAAAATTAATGGTACACAGACAAGGAAATCTAGAATTCTTCATAAATATGCTCTGTAAAATGACAAGATATGAAATTGACTGCTCTTTCTGCTAAATAATATAAAGTGTATGGAAATTAAGGAATTTCTGGCTGGATTTTTTTAATGATGTCTTACCAAACTGACCAACGAAAATTTTATCCAAGTGAAACGAAAGAGAATTTGCTGTTACCACCAAGGAACCCAGAATATAACCCTTTATCCTTGTGTTCTGGTTTTCTATCAGTATGAGGAGGCTAAAATCACTCTATTTCCCATTCCATTTGTCTGTTTGGATTGCTTGTTCTTCAGCATAAAAATAGTATCTCACTACACACTTCAGAAGGTACTGATCTTGAACAAAGCTTCTAGTGTTACCCTTATGGATACAGTTCAGAGTACAAAAAGACATAGATAAGTGGAATATATTTTAGTTAACTTCAACAAGACCATTCTTTGAATTTATTACTAGTACACATTCACAGTAACAACAATATATATTTTTGCCTGAAGAAAAAAATCAAATACAATGTGTTGTATACTTCTTATGCTTTTCCCCTCATCCAAAGTCCCTTTGATATTAATACATATATGATAGGCCTTCATATTTTAAGAGATTCCTGAAACAAAAAGAAGACCCTATTTGTTTCATAAACATTCAAGAATATTAATGGATCTAGATTTACCAAAAAAACAAATTTGACTTGGGAAAATAATTTAATTTATTGCAAATCTAAGAGAGTAAAATAATTATAAATAAGGAAAAAAACCTAAAAAATATCTTCCTCCCACCCCTCCTTTCTTCCCAAGATCAACTTAATTCCCAACTTCTCTACCTTGCCCTGGAGTAGGACAGGGAATGGAGGTTGCAACCAAGTCATGTTACATTGTCTCTGTTGCTCCTCCTCTTCATGCTCTTTCCCTGTTCCTACATGAGATCCCCTCCCACAGGAAACAGTCATTTATTCTAAACTGGATCCTTCCCATGGGCTGCATACTGCTCCACTGTCCTTGCCACGGAGTGCATGGAAATAAGCTGCTTCAGCCTGAGACCTGCAGACGGTTGCAAGTCCTACCAGCAAACCTGCTCCAGCATGAGATTCTTCCTCTTCACAACCTTCCAGGAGCCTTCTCCTGCATGGATTGTCCACGCAGTCATAGCTTCCTCCAGGGCAGGTTGACCTGCTCCAGTGTGGAGCTGTCCACAGGCTGCAGATGGATCCCAGCTCCCCTGTGGATCTCCCTGGGCTGCAGGGGCACGGCTGCCTCTCCATGGCCTGCACCAGGCTGCTGCGGTGCCTGAAGCACATCCCATCCTTTTTCTAGCCCTACCTTATTGTCAGCAGAGCTCTTTCTCTTACATATTTGCAGTCCTCTCTCCAGCTGCTGCCGCCAAACAGTTTTTATCCTTAAATCTGTTATCCTGGAGACATTACTGCCATTATTAATGGGCTCAGCCTTGGCCCACAGAGAGTCTGTCTTGGAGTCTGCTGCAAATGGGTCTGTCAGACATGGGGGCAGTTTCTGGCATCTTTTCATCTCTCCAAGCCACACTTGGAGTCCTCCTGACTACGTAAAGCCTTGTCATAATAGATATCACTCTTAAAAATTGCATTATTAACATTTTAGAAAGCCAAGATAACACAACTGAAGAAACAACTGGTGACTTCTGTATTGTAAATGACATTATATTTTTGCTGTTATTTTAGAGTACTTAGTTTCTCCTTCTAAATTATAATATAGATTGTGACAGTAATATTTTAGGTCTAATGTCAAAAGAACTGCAGACAATTTTAAAGTGGTATTAAGAGCAGAAATTTTTGACCAGCAATGACTCATATTTTCCTTCATCTGAGGTAGACAGACATGCTATTATCATTCTGCATATTTTTTCTATCCTTTTTTTATTGTACATTTCTGTTACTTATTTCATACTGCTGTTACAGTCTAATTGATGATGTTTATCAAACTGGAAATCCTTTATTCTTTCTCTGTGTCTCACTTTGGCTTTTATTGTCAGATTTTTCCAGAAATTATGTTACTGCTATATAGATGCCTTTCGAATAATGGATTAGATTAAATGATCTGTAAAGTCCCTTCCAGTCCAGTGCATTGTAGTTTTAGGTTTAGAAAAATCAATCATGGTAACAGCTATATGAGGTTTGTGCCTGGGATAGTTGGTCTATGTCAAGCACTCTGGCAGTCTTCAGGCTCAGAGAGTATTAGGAGAGTGGATATAGGTGCAACTGGACTTATGTTAAACATGTTCTAAACATGCTTTATTGACACAGCATGAGAGTTCTGTTGACATGGTAGACAGATATGCAGGAATACTCTGAAAAAATTGAGAAAAGGAAACATATATAAAAGATGAAAAATATGATCACCCTAGTAAAGGTTTGTCGCTTCAAGCAGCTATTTAACACCTTCCATACCCTGTAAAATGAAATAGCCATTTCCACACTGTGAATTTCCTGAGTGTACAGTAGATCTAGGAAAAAAATATATAAGAAAAGAAAAAGAAAGAATTTAAACCCTTTAGAGAAACAGACTTTAGGATAATTAATTGAAATCTAGATGTCCACACTGAAATCACCAAGAAGTAGATCTAGTAAATCTCATGAAAGACAAATATCAAAATATGTCATTTCAAGTGTCAAAATTTACCATAAAGTCCATGTTGGCTGCAGCATGTGAATTTCAGCATCTAGAATAAAAGACTAGTGTGTTGAATTAGTGTAATTTGGAAAAACCGTGATATGATTCTCCTTTCTTTTTATGTATTACATAACACAACTATACATGTGACAAAAGCAACTGTAACTAAGATTGTGGCATGTCTTTAACTCATTAATAACTGCTGTCCTGACTGAATACTTAAGTTAGAATGGAATGTTCTTTGTGAATGCCTAAATGCCTTTTCAATTTCTGAGCATTGCAGGGAAAAAAACAAAACAAATGAACCCATAGACAGTCTTCTAATCTGTAGTTAATTAAAATAGACCTAGACACTTGGTGCAATGCAGCATTTTACAGCAACGTTGTTTCACTTTTCAAATGTCCTCTATACACATACAGAACCACAAAATAAAGCGACCTCCTCTGAATAACTCAGGCAAGTAAGCAGTTTCAAAACAAATTCAAATTCTGGCTCATTTTTGCACCTTTGAAAAGAAAATTATTGCAATAGCGATGTTTCAATATGGATTTTTAAGCACAATTCAAAATACCCACTTTTGAGGATTTGGTCAATGTACAGAATGATGCAATATTAATATGTTGGCTTAAAATATTTGCTAGATATCTTTTGAAATGCAATAAAGACTGTGCAATAAAAGGAGTCAGGATGAGAGCAAAATTGAAAATATTTTTTTGCAGAGAAATAACCTTCTTTTCACACAGATACTTTCCTATTAGCTGCTACCTCTAACCCTTATCCTTTAAAAATCACCTTCTGTGAGCAATGCATATAACAAGTCTTATGCTGAAATTATCTCAGAATGTGTACAAGCATGCCAGGAAGTAAGTATATTATTGACTGTAGCTGCAGTATTTATATTTAATAAGCAAACAATAAATGTGACATTAAATTTCTAAAATTAAAAAGACTAGAAGCCATCCATGAAATTGTCAATTATCTGACTCTCCCTGCAGTGTTGAAAGGATAAAGCAAAGGTTCAAATCACACTTTGCTCTGCATCAATCTCCAATTTATACATTCCCTCTAGCTCAGCCTCTTTAACCTCTCAGAACCAGTTCTCCCCATGCTCATTATCTCTAAAAATAAAGTTTGATCTATATATTTAACCCAAATGTAAGTTCATCTCAAATATGCATTTTAGACCAGGTTCTCAACATGTATTATTCTCTTTAAAAAATGTTTTCTGGTATTGCAGGAAATAGTAGGATCAAGGCTACTCAAAACATAAGTATTGTTGTTTACCTTCTCACACTGATTCTTTCATTCTTACCCGAGTTTATCAATGCTGAAAAGCATGAATATCTGGAGTAAAGATACAAATATCAAGATGCGCAACTGTCTTTCCTTCCCTTGAGTAATAATTATCTACATACAACTATTACATAGCTGCTTCAGCCTAGACAAAACGCTTTCACTAATTAAAGAGCTATAATAGGAAGAATTTTAGAATTGGTTTGAGAAAACCTCTAATATTAAACAACTTATTTTTTCCTTTTTTAGAGAGGGGCAGTGGCAGTCAAAATTTGTTAACTCATCAAGATTAAATTTTGCTGTAAAAAATGTATCAGTCAAGAAAGCTGACTTACAAAGAGTCTAAAACCAAGCAGAATTTCTCATCAAAATAGGAGGAAAAAAAGGTGACATGATACACATGAATTCTATTTTAACCATATTGTCTCCCTTCTTCATCTCTTGATAAATGATCACATCCCAAAGCAAATTCCACAGGTCCAATAATGTGGCTGCTTTTCCTGAACTTTTGCAAGTATTTCCTACTTCTGTTTGAGAAGTCCTCACAGAATGTAAATCACTCCTTGAAAATGCCATAGAGCTGCTAACTGTCTTACTGGTATCATGTGTTTATCATACCAGAGTTAGTCATGATTTTTTTTGTTTATTAAGGGTTCATTGCAGAAGTCTTTTAGACAGTATCTGCTAGTCTTTAAAAATGAATAGCATAATCTCAGAGGAATGTGTCTACCTAAGGTTAGATGGAAAATGACTAATTACCATTATTAAAAAGACTAATCATCATCCTGAATCACCATTTAGCAATCTGTTATATAAGAATAAAACTATGATGCATCAAAAAATAAAAAAAAGAACCTTGTGAGAAAAGTCTAAATAGGTTTTTATAGAGTACTTAGAGATGTAAGAGCAGCTGTATAGTAAACAAATTTAATTTTCA